GGTTTTTTGAGACAGGGTCTCACTATGTAGTTGAGACTGACCTGGAACTCACTATGTATCCCAGGCTGGTCTCAAACTCACAGCGATCCTCCTGCCTCAGCATCCCGAGTGCTGGGATTACAGGCATGTAACACTGTTTCTTAAAACAACTCAGGATGACCAAAGATTGTGTACTTTTTCATTAATTTTTATAAGATATATAACAGGAAATATAAAAGTGAGTTTCATCCAATTTACTCAATACAAGCATCGACTGGTTAAAATGACACCTGTCTTGAGTGACACTTGTTTTTGGTTTGTTTGTTTTTTGCAACAAGGTCATGCTATTAGTCCAGTCTGGCCTTGAACTCACTTTATAGCCCAGGCTGGCCTGTTATTCACAGGGATCCTCCTGCCTCAGCCCACTTGGGATAGTCAGTACATAAATGCACTGAGTGATGGGGTAAACTGTTTAGTGGTTAACCTGGGCAGTAGCTTTATCAGTATTAACTATGTGATTCTTTTTCTGCACATACTTTATGTTTTTCTCCAGGCACAGCCTATTTCAGCTTTAACAAATTACAAAAAAGACACCAGCCCTAGGGCCCTGCCCCAACTCCACCCTTACAACATTCATTTATGCTCCATGCACAAAAGGCAGGAAGCAGGGATGGCAGGTGCTCAACCTGGCTTATCAAGGGAGTTTAAAGAAAATGTCTTACAGCAGAAAGAGGGAAGATGTCAGTGATTTGGGGGAAGAGCAAGGGAGGATACCAGGCATGGTGGCACATGCTCATGCTCCCAGCACTCGGGAGGTTGAGACAGGAGAACTGCTGCGTTCCTAGGCCAGCCTGAACTACACAGTGAAACCTGTCTCACACACACACACACACAAAAAAAAAAAAAAAAACAGAGGAAGTGAGGAGTTTCTTTTGGAAAAGTACTGGATGGACAGGAGTAACTGTCTCTAAAACTGTGGGCCCACATAGTACCCAAGACTATAAAAGTACTTTTTATTTTTTATTTTTATTTTATGTATTTTTTATTTTTTGGTACCAGGAATCGAACTCAGGTCCTTGCGCTTGCGAGGCAGGTCACCAAACCGCTGAGCTAAATCCCCGGCCCTAAAAGTACTTTTTAAAACATGTGAGTCTACTCAAAGGGAATTCAGCACACGGTGTGGCATTTCCACAGGCTGAAGAAAAAGGTAGACTAATCAGGAGTGTGAGGCCTGAGACTATGAGCCCCTGACGTCCCAGGGCACAGATCTGCACAGAACACAGAGGGCCTTTAAGCTTGTTACTGGCAGGTGTGCACTAAGTTCGCAGCAGCCAGGCTCACCTAGAGGTATTCGAAGAAAGACCCTGTCACAGGCGCGGACTCACTGGCCCCTCCTGACCAGGAAACAAGGTTTCCCAGGGAACGTCAACTCTTCCATACCTTGGAACTTAGTCACTTAGCCTTCAGATGGAAGGAGAAGCTGACCAGACTGTAACTTTGACTCAAAATAAAGAAAACCTCACAGTCTATATTTTTCAAGCTCCATGTGGGAGCCGGGGCACGGGACACCTTAAAACCAAGAGCCCCCACCTCAGTCACCCAAAAACAGCCTTGACAACATTCTCGGAGTTGAAATGTCTGCTGGTTCTTCTTAAAAAAATGCCTCTCCAGTCAGCCAAGACATTTTCACGGCCCCAGACCCTCACAGTTTTAAGGCAGGGAAAATCCACAGTACCCCAAGAGTGGTTCACCGAAGCCGCTCCCCAAAGGTGCACTGTCCCTGTGTTGGTGGAACCAACGCCCCAGCTACGCAGCCTTGGGCTACGTCCCGAGGTGGGGACCCCAGCCACACCCGACACCCACCTTCCTCACGGTCTCCAGCTCCTGCTGCTTGTTTTCATTGGCGGCCTGCAGCTCCTTCATCTGCCGCTCCAGCTCCTCCTGCTCCGCCAGCAGCTTCTTCCGGAGCTCTTTCCGCCGCTGGCGGGCTTCTTTGTGTGGTGGAGGACTGCCCAGCTTCAACAGATGGATGGTGGAATGAATGGCTGTGCACGCAGGGGAGAAAAGTGGGAAATACACTCCATTCTCTGCATGCACACCGTGCAGATGACACAGAAGTAGGAAAACCAGACAGTGAGGAGCCCCGGCGTGACTCAGATTCCGCTAGTGAGCAGCAGTGCGACCCTGGCCAAGTCTGTTTCCTCTTCTCCAAAATCAGAGTTGTAACCTTTAAAGTCTGTTCCGACTCCCCAATTCCTTAACTGGATATCTGCACTTACAAAGATGCTTAATTTGTACTACACACATTTTAAAAATATATGACAACACTTTCAACTCCCTCCTCCATGTACCTCAAAAAGCTCAGCCTCCCAGCATACTGGGACGACAGGGCAGCGCCACAGCCCCTGGTTAATATGTCCACGTCCTACGCGGGTCCTTTGCCCGGCTCCGTGTGTACATAGTCCACATATGTGTCCTTCAATGCATTATCACATTTGTATATAAAATTTGACTTTCTCCTCGAATCTTTAATTACTGTACCTGAATTTAATTGCTTGGATAACTAGCACACATTGTTCAAATTAAAAAACATAAAAAGAGGGGATTTAGCTCAGTGGCGCCGCCGTTTGCCTTGCAAGCACAAAGTCCCTAGTTCCATCCCTAGTACAAAACAAAAGAAAAACATAAAATAATATTCAGAATAAGTCTCTCACCACCCCCCCTCCAGGTACTACTGGGTTTCCTGTCCCATTAGCAACCTATGCCAATGTTTCCTAAGGTCATTTTCAGCAAATGACTATACACGTATATTATTCCTCCACTTTTTTTGACACAAATGATGGTGCCGCCCACTCTTCAGAGTCCCTGTTTTCCCCCTAATTCTTCTCGAAGGTATCTATGTCAGTACATAAAGTACTACACTTGAGCACTGTATAGAAGCTACTCCACTGTCTACCATACTCTACTCAGCTACCTCCCAATTAGTGGACGTGTAAGTTGTCTGTAATCACAAAAATTTCTGCAACAATGTGCAAGTACATCTGTCATTATTTAAATTTTAACCCTCACACTAGCCCTGAACGGTAGGTACTGTTATTATCCTCATTCCTTCAAAAGAAGAAAGAAGCAATAGTTCAAACCAAATGACCCAGAAAAGAGTAAGTCCAGGCAACTTGCCTAAATCTCCCCCGCCAAACCCCAGTACTGGGAATTGAACTCGGGACCTTGCACTTACAAGGCAGACACAGTACCACTGAGCTAAATCCCCAGCCCTTTGCCTAAATCTCTTAAACCATATCAAAACAACCACAATTTCAACAGAACATAATTCTACCTATGTACATTCAGAATTCCCCTTCGGGATTACACTGAAGTCACACACACACCTGTAATCTCCTGTCCCACACAACCGGGGTCCCAGACCCCCTCTCTCCTCTTCTCTCCATATACAGTTTTTTATTAATTTTGGAATGACGTAATGCTTTGGTTTAAAAGTTATTAATTGAAAAGTCTGTGTTTTTACAATCATGATTTGGGTTATTTTTCAGTATTAGGCATTCAACCCAGGGGCTCCTGGATGCTAGGCAGGCACACCACCACTAGGTTACATCCCCGGCCCTTTCTGTTCATTTTATTTATTTTACTTACTTATTTTTTGTACCAGGGATCGAACTCGGGTCCTTGCGCTTGCAAAGCAGGCAGCAGAACCACTGACCTAAATCCCTGGCCCCTGTTCATTTTATTTTGAGACAAGGTCTTGCTAAGTTGTCCAGGCTGGCCCCAAACTTGCAATCTTCCTGCTGCACCTTAACAAGTAGCAAGGATTGTAGGTATGTGCCACACTGCTTGCTATTTACAATTACTGATTTCTTGTGGAAATAAAGAAACTTAGAAATCACTTGAAGTATTTAAAAACTACTGCATAATTCCTCTTTTTACATAAAACGAAAAACTCAACATTTAACATTTTTAAAATATCACTTTAACATTCTTCATAGTTCTTAAAATGAGAAAGTCCATACTTTTTAAATAGCTAACAGTAAATAAAACCTAAATCCTCCTATTAATAGTTTTCACACAGATCTATTATAAAAATTAGTATTAGTTGAGGAAAAATTTGAGAACTCAGCCAGGCATGCTGGTGCACACCTGTAATCCCAGCACTCTGGTAGGATGAGGCAGGAGGACAGCAAGTTTGAGCCCACCCTGGACAACTTAGTGACACCCTATGTCAAAATTTTAAATGAAGGGCCTGGGATTTAGCTCAGTGGTTCCACTGCCTGCTTTGCAAGCACAAGGACCTGAGTTCGATTCCCAGTACCCACCAAAAAAATTTAAATGAAAAAAGGGCTAGGATTGTAACTCAGTGCAAAGGTCCTGAGTTCAATCCTTTGTACTGAAAAAAAAAAAATTGAGAAATTGTAGCATCTTTCATGAGGTTCAAAACTAGAACATGAGGGCCAGGGATTTAGCTCAGTGGCACCGCACCTGCCTTGAAAGAACAAGGTCCTGAACTCGATCCCTGGTTCAAAAAAAGAAAGAAAACTAGAACATGGAGGCTCTCAAGTTTTAGCATGCAAATAATAAAAAATGGGCTTACCCTGAATCCATTCTTGTTTCTTCTTCTTATCAGAAGCACTAATTTCAAAGGTCTTATCAAAACATTTTATTAGAAAAAGGCATTTCTTTCCATCTTTGTCAGGCAGAGACTAAACAGAAAGCAAAATTAGTTCTTTAAGATTTTATTCTTAAGCATCTAAATTAAATTCAACCTTATTTATTCAAATCTGACTGAAATTTGATGTTGGTGGCAAATAACCTATAAATGCAAATTACTGATCTACTACTGCTATTTCCCGGGCAGTATTACTGATGGTGACACTGACCCCTCAGTGGTTTGCCACATCCACACTGGAGAACTACAAGCACTTGGTGGAGCGCAGGCACTCCCTGGGCTTTCCTGAGCATGGCAATTTTTGGAGCTGCCTACACCCCTGCAGAAGCCCTGGAAGCTACACCCACGGCACTGACCCCGATGCGTGCAAGGGTTCCAAGCAGCAGTGCCCTACCTGGCTAGGGCAGTCTCCTCTCTTGTTCCAGGGGTACTGCTGCTGGCACCTTCCGCGTCCTTCTGAGTACAGCGGTACAGCCTACGGTACTCACACTGAATCTAAGCCAGACCCCTTTTGGTGGCACTGCATACCCCAAGCATTAATCTGTACTATTTCATTCTCAAAATGCACTATAGTTTGAGTGGCAACACTGGTATTTTCAATGATTTTCAACAAACACAGATACAGTGGTATTTCATATACAAATCAGAAACTTGAAAACTCAAAAAAACTGATGGCTGGGCCAGGGATTTAGCTCAATGGTTCCGCCGCCTGCCTCACAGGAGCAAGGTCCCAAGCTTGATCCCTGGTACCAAAAAAAACCTGATGGTCTGGAGGACTTCACTTCTCTACAGAATTAGTGGCCATGAATAAAGTATCCTGAAAGTCGCTCAGGGTATTCAAGTATAACACTCAATCTTCTTTTATTTATTGTACTTAAAAGGCCCCAGATATTTTACTATATTCATCATTTTAAACACTGTCTTAAAAAAAAAAAAACATTGTCTTACTAAACATATTTTGCTTTATTTTCTCTTTGATGACTCCATTTTACTCAATAAGTGTTTTCTAAAATACCCAAATTAGGACTAATCACTACACATATATAAGATTAAACAATTCATATTAGAAAAAAATTGTCCTTTATCTTTAATTTTTAGTTCAGAAATGTGAGTGTGGGGATTCTTTGAAGGGCCCAGAAGGTGGAAGACGAGGAGTGGCCACAGCAGCAGGGGGCAGTACCGGCTAAGCTCAGTAAGAGGGAGCTGGCACCATACTCACCTCCACACAGCAGTTCCCGTCCAAGACAATGTCCCCTTTCCTGTCTTTCAGATCCTCACTCACATAGTAAGAAATTATGTTGGGCTTTAGAACAAACCAGCGTTCAGTCCAGTTTTTCCGTCGATGGCCTTTTTTCATCATGTAACCCTATGAAACATTAAATCTGAGTGGATGACTGTTTTTCATTTGTCAGAGTTAATATGTCTTCCTTGTAGATCTCATTGCTGGTCTCCCTCATTAGGGGTTATACGGCCCTGAATATGTGAATGTCATCAGCTCCTGCCCTTGGTGATCGATCGATCATGAACCCTTTCAGAATTTACAAATGCCACGGGCATTACACCCCATTGAACTCATGCAAGCACATTCGGGTCAAAGTTTGCAGATAAAAGAACCCTTGAATTTAAGAGTCCTTATGTTTCTGAGATATATACTGAAATATTTACAGATAAAATAAAATGGCTGAAATTTGCTACAAAATAATATAAGAGAAGCACAAAAGCAGGTAGAGTAGGGTTAGCCATGGATTAGCACCAGCCTGGGCAACGGGTATACAATTCACTGCACTAATGTATTTCATTTTTTAAAAAGCCCCTATCAGGGCTGGGGATTTGGGTCAGTGGGCACCACACCTGCCTTGCAAGCTCAAGGTCCTGAGTTCAATGACTGGTACAATGGTACCAAAATAAAACAAAACAAAAAGACCCCTATCGGTGATTATTGTTAAATTAAAACCTTTAATTTAGTATATTAAATCAATGAAAATGTTGGCCAAGTCTACCTTCTTCACCAAAGACTATAGGATTTCACCTTCTGGTACTAACCTACCTTTCCACCTGAGCTCTTACTTTTCTAGACATGAACTCTGCTCACAGAAAAGAATTGGGCCAGTAGTTAGAAAATTGGCTTCTAAGGTCATACTCCGCAACCTGCATCTCCTTCCCACATATTAGATGTAGAATTCAAAGTTCACTTTAACAAAATTATGTACTATTATAAAGCCCTTCAAGGTGTACAAAAGCAGTTAAATCTATAGGTTCAGACAGCATACGGTAGACTATACACATTATTCTGTGTATATTAACTTGGCTGTAGATATATATATATCAGATACCATACTGAGCACTTAGAAACAAAGGTAATAATAGTTAGCTCAGAGGTGGCACCGCCTGCCTTGCAAACGCAAGGTCCTGAGTTTAATCCTGGTACCAAAAAAAAAAAAAAAAAAAAAAAAAAAAAAGACAATGCTACTTTTCTACATGGAAGTATCTTTTTCTAAAAGTAAGAGTAAAGTTGGGCATGGTGGCGCATGCCTGTAATCCCAGCACTCAGGAGGCTGAGGCAAGAAGATCGCTATGAGTTCGAGACCAGCCTGGGCTACACAGTGAGTTCCAGGTCAGTCTCAACTATTTAGTGAGACCCTGTCTCAAAAAACAAACAACAAAAAAAAAGTAAGAGTATTTTTCCAATTAGGTAAAAGGCCAGCTGAGGTGAAGCACAAATGTAATCTCAGCAGTTGGTAGTGCTTAGCAGGAGGATCACAAATTCAAAGCCAGCCTAGGCTACATAGTGAGTCTGAGGCCAGCCTAGACTATATAGAAAGATACTGTCTCAAAAACACCCCCTAAAAAGAGTAAATATATTATATACATGTATCTCATGTAGAAAGTCTAATAATACAGAAAAGGAAAAAGAAAATAAAATTAATCAAAATCCCACAGTTCGGAGGCCATCACTGTGAGCACTTCAGAGAGTGCCCTTCCAGAAGGCTTTACACACAGACATCCTGCTATGTGAAAGATACGAGTAGCTACCATTCTGTGACCTGTCAATTCACTGACAATATGCCATTAGTGTCTTTCTAGATTGAGTATGTATATATAATGACTTGACTATATTATGAATATATATAATGACTATGAATACTTCTTAAAAATGGTTTGGAAATATGATTAAAAGGTTCCTTCAACATAGTAATATCTTGGGCTGGGGACTTGGCTCAGTGGTTTGGACGCCTGCCTTGCAAGCGCAAGGGCCTGAGTTTGATCCCCAGTACCAAAAAAAATTAAAAAATAAAAAATAACATCTCAGTTCTTAACTGAACTTCAAAACTATACCAGTAATACTGTAAAATGAAAGCTTAGGGCTGGGTGCTAGTTCAACGGTAGAGAGCTTGCCTAGCACTAGTGAGGCCCTGGGTTTAATTTCCCGGAATGCAAAAAAAAAAAAAAAAAAGAATTAAAAAAATTAAAATCTAGGTAAAGGGGCCTGGGGATTTAGCTCAGCGGTTCGGTGGCCTGCCTCGCAAGCGCAAGGACCCGAGTTCAATCCCCGGTACCAAAAAAAAAAAAAAAAAAGAATTAAAAAAATTAAAATCTAGGTAAAGGGGCCTGGGGATTTAGCTCAGCGGTTCGGTGGCCTGCCTCGCAAGCGCAAGGACCCGAGTTCAATCCCCGGTACCAAAAAAAAATAAAAATAAAAAAAAATAAAATAAAATCTAGGTAAAGGAAGGAAGGGAAAAGGAAAAAATAAAGAATAGAAGGAAAAACATGGAAACAAAGCTTTTATAAAGAAGGAGGGAAAGAAGAGGGGAAGTGAGGAGAGGGGAATGGGGGAGAAGCAAATACATCACATACAGGTACTAACTCCCTATGATAAATGTTATCATTATGTATATCAAAAGTATACCAACAAAATTAATTTTTAAAACACGAAAGCCTAATAAAAGATTGGGAAAATAAGAAACTTTAGTCTTGTGCCAAGCCAGTTTAAGGCTATAAGTGACCTGTATCATCTTTACAGCAAAAATGTTATTTTCTTTCAAACCTCAAATTCTAAAGAGGAAAAATACAATGTCACAGGACTCTTACCTGTTTTAAAACATCTAATATAAGCTCATTAAAGACTTCATTAATTGCCATAGACACCGTCTGCCGGTCCATGCCTTTGCTAAACTGTCCATTTCCAATCAGCTCAATGAGCTCCCACGCAGAAAGGCCCTCTTTACCATCATCAAAGTTGACTTTATAATCTTCAAATTGTTCTTGCTGCCAACCTCCTCCCATAGCTTCTGTAAGTTTCTTAAGCAAGTATTCAATCTGCAAAAAAAAGTTAAGAAAATTATTTCCCAGTTTAAAAAATTTAACACAGGTAAAAAAAAAATATTAACACAGGTATGCATTTATGTTCTTTTTAAATGATATGGTCAACTTAGGAGATCTTTACCTTTTCAAAAGTGCACTTCTTTAAAGAACCTCCTTTTATCAAGGAGAAGGGTACGAATAAAATGCCAGTGGTTTTCAATGAGTCTAGAATAGTAAAGGAATAAAAACCGATAGCCTTCTAATAGTATATTTGTACAGAACAAAGCAAACTGCAAATACAAAAACCAATTCTGTGATCTGATCACTCTGTTGGATATTTCAATGTATCCAAAACATCAATCTTACTGAAATAACATGCAAGTGCAAGATTAAACATCTCAAAGTGCGATGTACAAGTTTTAAAGAATTGCTACTATTTAGGTATCTTTCCTGAATTTGTAGTTCACTTTTTATGAAAATTAGCAGTGCAGTGAAAAATCCAAGTTTTAAAAAATGTATTTTCCCATACAAACTGTAGTGTAAGCATACACAGTCACAAATCTGTGCTTCTGTAATTGAGAAATGCTTATATGCTGTGTTTGGTATATCTTCCATGGATGTACTGATGAATACAGTATTCCTGTGAATATTTTAAATGTTGAAATAAAATAAGAAATATGAAAAATCAAAAATTAATAAGTCGTCTCTACCTTCCAAACGGTTTCCCTTCTATCACTGACTTCAGTTGGGAGAAACAGCATTCATGTATTTCCCTATGCTAAGATGATTGTTCCCTGGCCTTCACATCGAATCACTGACAAAATCCTGCTGATATTACTTCCCTACATGGTGGGTAGTAACCACAATTTTCTGGAATGGAATGAAAAATATTCAAGCTCATTTACAAAAGACAAATAATGTTTTGTGATAAACGTTGTGTTGTGTGTACATCTGCCTATGTGTCCTAGGTCCTGAAATAGACTGTTTATTTATCTTCCTCTGGGTTGCATCAAAAGAAAACGAAAAACTTTGTCCCAAAAGTTTTCAAATCTGTCCCTCATCTGCCTTGGTTCAGGCCTCCCTCTTCGTATTCTTGCCTCCAGTGTCACCCCCCTTTTACCGACACTGTGACAAAGGGAATTTTCAAAACACAACTTGAGCCTATTACCTCCCTAAAGCCTTTCTTGACTCCCTGTGCCCTCAAAAATAAAGTGTGCACTCCTCTGCACCCCTGCAGGGTTATCCCAGCCTATTTTCTCTAACACGTCTCCTAGTATACACCGCCTCACCACCAACATCATGATTAGGGGATGCCAGCTATCACTGTCAAAGGCTAAGCAGTAAATGTTTGGACTCTGTTTATTTTTAGTACATATTCTTTTTTAAAAAACACATTTAAAGTGCAAAAACTATCCTTAGCTCCGGGGCTGTACAAAAATAGGCTGTGGGCTGGATTTAGCCAGCAACCCACCACAGATTATAAGTAGTTTTCCCACTGAATATAGTTTTTATGTTTCTCCCACACTACTCTTCTTTCTCATTTTTCTACCTAGTGAATGCTGCATACTTCAGGCTATTCCTACTCCAAGTGAGACATTATTCTGCTGTCACCTGGAAGCCTTGTAGAAATGAAGACTCGCAGACCCCACCAGAGACCCCTGTCAGAAGCCGCATTTTAACAAGCACCTCAAGGAACTGCACACCCACACTGAAGTCTGAGAAGCCCTGCTGAGAGAACCGCCTCTAATCAGTTCTAAGCCAGACCCAGCTTTCCCCAGCAGCCCACCTTCTTTGTCACTGCACTTAAAGTGAACTGAAATTATCTTTTTATTCATTTGCTTTTCCACCATTCTCTGAATGCTTTCTAGGCAGGACCATGTCCCACTCATCTCTGAATTCTCAGAGCTTGGCATGGAGCCTAGAGCACAGCAGTGCTCAACTAACAGCCACTAACCAAAATGAACTAAGTCTTGGTTCTTTTCATTTTGGGGGGTTGGGGTGGGGTACTGAGGATCAAACTCGGGACATTATGCTTACCAGGCAGGCACAGTGCCACTGAGCTAAATCCTTGGTCCTTCAATTTTTTTTAATCTATGAAAAGGGCATAAAGGGCCAGGGATTTAGCTCAGCGGTTTGGTGGCCTGTCTTGCAAGCGCAAAGACCTGAGTTCAATCCCGGGTACCAAAAAAGGGGGGGGCATAAAAATACTCATCATGTAGAACTACTATACGAATAAAAGGAGAAGAGCACAGAGAGATTTCCGCAATGCCTGGCATGTAGGTGTTCCATCAGTGTTACCAATGAGTAGATCATTCACTTAAAATTGCACTTAAAAAGCATTTATGAAATAACAAAGTGAAGAACAATGCAAAACTAAATTTACCTATGAATTCTACTGCATAAGGATTATCCAAATATTCTAACTAATATTTATCAAAAAGCACAAAGGCAAGTGTTATTATGAACAGCAATGCATTATTTTTTCTTTCTCCATCTTTGCATTTCCATTACTTTGGTTATAACAACAATTGTTGGTGAGATAATATATTTTTAACAGAATGAAGATGGAAATATGTATATATAT